GGAGGGGACCCCTACACCCCAGATCGGTTTTGTTTGGCTCCATTAAATAGTTAACTGGAAGTGATGACCTGACATCATTTCTGGTTTACTTGGAAACAGTTGGCGCCATTTTTTAAAAACAAAAGCATTCAGTCACACCGATCTTGATGTGATTGAATGCTTTTAAAGGCAGAGGAGGGATTTGGGGTCTTTTTGACCTCAGATCTCTCCATAAAGATTACCTGTCGCAGGCCTGTTGCAGTCATAAGGGATATTTACATTCTTTGTGACAGCAATAAAAGTGATCGAATATCTATGTATTTATTTTTTTAAAGTGACAGTGTCGGGAAAAAAAAAGAAAATCAAAACAAGTTAAAGTGTGCACAAAAGCGAACGCACATTTCTGTCCCGCAGGCAAACAAGCAGCAATCGTCCCACACATGTGAGTTATCAAGGAAACTTTAGATCATGGTCAGTAATTCTAGCACCAGAGTGGTAACATGTAAAGGCTTTTAAAGCACCGTCTATGGATAGTAATTGTGTGCACAATTTTAAAGCATGACATGATTGGTATCTTTTTACTTGGCGTAACATCATCCTTTTTAAATTTTACAAAAAAAAAAGTGGTTATGCATTGTGTTTTTTGCATTAAAATTCAAAAAAGGGTATTTATTTTTTACTTTTAAAAAATATATAATGTTTGGTGGTTCTAAATAATTTTCTAGCAAAAAAAAGCTGATTGTTGCATGTAAACAAAAAGTTCCAGAAAAAGCCTGGTCCTTAAAGCGGAGTTCCAGCTGAAAAAGAAGAAAAAGTCAGCAGCTACAAAAACGCCAGCTGTTGACTTTTAAAGTACAGCCACTTACCTGTCCCTCGGTCCAGCGGTGTCCTCACCACCACTGGTTTCACTGGCCGTCTTCTCTCCCTGGTTTTGGCATCTTTAGTGTGGGCACCCCCGGCTGTGACAGCTTGCGGCTTCACGGCCGGGTGCCCACTGCGGATGCGCGAGAAGAGCTGCACTTTGTGAATGGCCCTGTAGTCTTCTGGGACCTATCGCGTGTCCTAAAAGACTACGGGGAGGGAGGACAACTTCCCCTTCCGATTGCCTAGGTGATCACAACGGAAGTGGGAAAGGGTACCTGTCAAATTCAGGTACCCCCTCCCCAAAGGTGCCAATCCTTATTGGGGAGCAGGGGACAGAGTATTAAAGCGGAACTTCCTCTTTTGGGTGGAACTCCGCTTTAAATAGAACTAGAGGCAAAACTTTACCCCCCCCCCAATTTTGGATAGAGTAAGGGAGGGTTGTAACCCATATCAGTTTTTGCCATATGTATCCCATTGGGGTGATTTACCTTCTATTTCCGTCCCATAGCAAAAACAGGAAGTGAGAGAAAATCCCTGCAAATTGAGGGAATCTCTGGGGTGGGGGTTCCAGGTTACCAGAACGAATACCCCCCCTCCCCCCCCTTCCGACATGCATAGTGACATAGTTCAACCAATAGAAAAATAAATAAATAGAAAACCTCCATGTACACAATCCTATACCCACAGTTAATTCATAGCAAGGCAAAAACCCTAAAAAGCATAGTCCAATTTTCTCCAGAAGAGGAAAGAATAAATTCCTTCTGGATCCTACAGAGGTCAATCAAACATTCCCTGAATCCACTTTCCCTGATGTTATTACCTATAAATATTATTATCCAGTTCTGTTTCATCCAGGTATGTTTCGCATAATAGGATTGCATCCATCTCCTTTTAAAACCACCTACTGAGTTGGCCAGAACCAGCTCCCTCTCCCTCCAGTATTTTTTTTTCTAGCTTTAGAAACTTCAGCTTGGCACTACATGCTATTAAGTCTATATTCTACGAGAGCACCCAAATCCTTTTTGACCATTGACTCCACCAGTTGTTCTCCTAGAATGTATGATGCATGCATGTTTTTAGCCCCCAAGTGCATAACTTTACATTTATCAACAATACTAATTTGCTATGTAGTTGGTCAATTAAACAGTGCATTGGGGTTGGCTTGTACATTGGAGACCTCCTGTAAAACCGTTCTTTCACTACATAGCTTAGTCTCCTCTGCAAACACAGCAATGTTACTTTCTTTGATTCAATGGCTGTGGCCTCTGAAGATTGTTTACATCATGCACCATAGGTCATCTGTCTCCTAGCTGCATCTGTGAAAACAAGCCCCATATACCTCTATGGGGCATGTCTACCTTTTTTTCTCCTGGCTGGGAGATGAGCCCCATAGACTCTATGGAGTCTTGTGCGTAGGTACATCCAAGAGATGGAGGATTTGCAGCATAGCATGTAAACAATCTGCAGAGGCCAAAATCATGGGATTGAAGTAAGTATGGACATGGGGGGGACATGTAAAGTCAGCTTAAAGGGTCAAACAGAATAGGTGCACTTTGTTTGCAAGGACACTATTTCTTAGAGCATACTGTACATACTTTTAACAGTAGAATCTCCAAGGGACAGAAAACTAATGGTTTACATGAACAGCTCTGCAGAGCTGCCACCTTGTCCAATTTCCATAAGGTTCTTTGACACAACTGGATTTTCTTCTCTCCAGTCATAATCCCTGAGAAGTAAGTCCTGAAAGCAGTAGCCTCACTCTAGTTGGTAAATTCTTGTTTTATTCTATCATATCCTGTCCTGGAAAATGATTGGGGAAAATAGTTACTTGGTAATACAGTTTCTAGGAATCTTCCAAGACAGGGTTTCCCATATTAAATTCTGTGTTGTCATGTTACTACATTAGTTGCCTTCAGTTCTTTATTAATTTAATACTGAGGTGACTATACTAATTTTTTGTTGATTGTCGATGATGTGTTTGCTGTGTTAGGTAGGCAGATATTCTCTCATGTGCTGCTCTGGAAAATTCCTGGAAATTGAGTTACCATGTTTTTTAATTGTGCTCTTTAGAAACGGGTTATCTCTAATGTTGGTAATCCTACGTTTTTGATCACTGCAGCCATCACTGTACTTCCAGTGATGCAGCTGGGAACAGCAGCTTTCATACAGGTTATTCACCTACCCTTTCCTCTTCTCTTGTCTATTACCTCTTGTCCATTTACCTCAGTTTTGTGACTGGACAAGGGGAGAGGAAAGGGAGGGTGTCTGGGCAGAATTCCTTCACTGTATGAGAGCGGCTTCTCTCAGCTGCAGCTCTGAAGTATAGGCCTGGCTGTTCTTTTCAGCATCAATGAAGCTGTTTTGAAGGAGTTTTACACTACATCGCAGCGACAAGTCCTAGAAATACCATCATTTAAAGGTAACTTTTTCCTACAGAGCACAAATTCAAAAAACAGTTGTAACATCCTGTAAAACAACCTGCAACTTTTTCATGCTTTACATGTACTGTATGATCGGTGTTCATACCCTTCTGCTTCTTTTTAGCATGTATATTTTCCTCTTTGCTCCACATCATAAAATTAGCTTATCTCCTGAATACGATTTCTGCTATGTAAATATGTCATCTGCTTTTATATGTAACCCCTTTATGCTTTATTCCTTCATGTTCGCTCCCACTTTTTCTGTTGGGTTTATACTTGTGTACTAAAAATATTTGCTTTCACCAAGCCAGGAATATTAGTATATACATTAATGTAACCTTGCCTTGTCTTTTACATTATCAGTAATAAACCAGTGTGAGGAAATGTTTATAAACCCCAGTACAAAATAATATCTGTATATCATCTTTTTTTATTCATGCTTTTTGCAGAGTTTGGGGCTTCCAATTACAGAAGAGCAGATCCAGGAGATGGAGGCCAACTTGGAGAACATAGACTTCAAAATGGCAGCTGAGGAGGAGAAACGCTTGCGGCATGATGTCATGGCACATGTGCATACATATGCACACTGTTGTCCTCGAGCTGCACCCATTATTCATCTTGGGGCCACTTCCTGTTATGTGGGTGACAACACAGTGAGTATGCCATGCTTATCAGCAAGCCTTGCCTATAGACTTATACCTGTTTGACAGCAACTTGGCTTTGGTTTTTAGATTGGTACAGCCAGCAGATCTACTGGCATAAACATTTTTGACAGCTATGGTAGTTCTGTTTCTTACGGGTTGCATTAAAACTGTTAATTTTTATAGGATCTTTTTGTTGTGACTTCCAAGACAACAAAAGCTGATGGCTCCCTGTTGACTAATTTTTTTTTTGCCACTTACTGCATGCAGCTAGCCTCCTTGGGGTAGTTGATAGCCCTACTAGTTCCCACCTTCTCTTCCTTAAGGGATAAGTTCACCTCTCATAACATGTTACACCCATATTCAGGGTGGAACATGCAACATGTTATGAATACACTGGCCACCGCTTTGATAGCTAGTGGGGGGTCTTCTCTCCCCCCTGCCTGCCACCCGGCTGAATTGGTATTCTGTGAATGAGAAACTACAAGTCGTGACAGCCTTAGAAGCTGTCTGCTTGTAGTTCTCAATGAACTACCACAGCACTGTGGAGCGCCGTGGTAGTACATTGATTCTTCCTGTCAGTATATCTGCTTCCCCATACTTGCGGACAAGCAGATATACTGGCAGGTCTTCAGGAGAACTGCATGGCACCAGTGATCTGATCACTGGTGCAATGCTTTACAGGCTCATGCAGCCAAAAATAATAAATGCACATTTTTTTCACCTGCAAAAAAATGTGCATTTATTATTTTTTAGCAAAAGGTGAACTTATCCTTTTAACCACCTCCCGCCTGCCATATACTAATATGACAGACGCAAGGTGGTTCTCCCATTCTCAGTGCGCATGCGCGGCTCAGGGAGCGTGCAGCGTGGCAATCGGCAGTGCGCTGTGTCCCTCGGACACAGCGGATCACTGATCACGGAAAGAGCCGAAGATGTCGGCTCGGCCATGTGATCAGCTGTGTCCAATCACAGCTGATCACATGTAAACAAATGAATTGCCAGTTATCTGCATTTCTCTCCTCTCACGCTGACAGCTTGAGAGGAGAGCAGAGCCAGTAATCGGCTTTCCGCAGAGGGGACATGTACACTGATCATCAGTGCCCTGATGATCAGTGTAGTCCATCAGTGCCTTGCGTCAGTGCCTCGTGACAGTGCCTATCAGTACCACATCAATGCCACATATCAGTGCCTGCCAGTGCCCATCAATGCCACATATCAGTGCCCATCTGAGCTGCCTTTCAGTGTCACCCATCAGTGCTGCCAATCAGTGCCGCCTAACAGTGCCAGTCAGTGCTGCCTATCAGTGCCATGTATCAGTGCTGCCTTTCAGTGCCCAACAATGATGCCTGTCAATGCCCATCAGTGCCACCTACCAGTGCCTCCTCATCAGTGCAGCCTATCACTGCCCATCACTGCAGCCTCATTAGCGCACATTAGTGAAGGAGAAAAATCACTTTTTTATAACAAAAACTAAGAAAAAATGTTTTTGTTTTTTTTCAAAATTTTCTGTGGTTTTTGGTTTGTTTAAGAAAAAATAAAAAACCCCCAGAGTTGATTAAATACCACCAAAATAAAGCTCAATCTGTCACAAAAAAAATTATAAAAATTTCATATGGGTACAGTGTTGCCTGACCGCGCAATTGTCATTCAAAGTGCGACAGCGCTGAAAGCTGGAAATTGGCCTGGGCAGGAAGGGGGTATAAGTGCCCTGTAGGCTTGTGGTTAATCTGTAATGGCCCATTCTTCATGCATGACAGACATCCTGCACTTGCTGCTTGACCATTTTCAGCCAGCAGCACATTCAGCCTATGTGTCCAGCTCCAGCAGACCTCTTTCCTGATTCTTGTTCCATCTCCCTCCCTCCTTGTGTAGCTGTAGAACTAAGCTGGCCATACACTGACAGAAATCTAACAGATTCTTACATCCACACTATACAGTGCAGTAACTGCTATTATATTCTGACAGTTGGTAGGAGTGGCTGTCAGAATACCTGATTAGTGATTGCATTTTATTGGATACATGTGCTTTTTGGATGATTTTCTACCTGACTTTGATTTTTCAGCCGAAGGATGTCATCGGGATCACCCATGAATCGAATGTCCAGCTTTTGTTCTATGGCCCTGTCTTGATCTCACTCATTCATATATCTCAGGCAGGCATGATATCCTTTTCCCTCTACCAGAGCTACTCTGACATTGGGTGCATCTGCACTGTTCCAGCATTACCATACTGCCTGACTGCAGTTCATAAGGTACCCTTGTCCCTGCTGTAGGAATACGTCTCCAAGAATGACTGACTGTAAACACACTGCCTGCAGGTTACTAATGAGAACTGCCTGATGTCTAGCTTGGAGAAATTGTCCAATACATATTCAGCTGACTTGCATTTTTTTTTAGCTCTGATCCAAACAATATACTGTAGATATATATATAGATAGAGCTATATAATCTATATCATTTTATTTATTTTTACTAAGCTGTTTAACACAATTAACTGTCTTTGGTTTTTAGATGTTAGTTTCCCCATATGTACTTGCAAGATTGTGTTATGTAAGCAGGAGGTTTAAAAACTTTATCCCCATGAATGACTATTTTACTCATATGGATTCTTTCAAGAACTGGTTAAATCTTATCCTATTCTTGCAATTAATTCAAGTCTATCCATTTACTCAGACAGTGCTCAAATGCTTATAGGACGTTTGACTAGTTGTCCTTCTCTTTTAGGATCTTATTGTTCTGCGTGATGGATTTGATTTGCTTCTTCCAAAGGTGAGCATTTCAGTCTGTGTACTGCATATAAAATAAGCCCATACATGAATGACCTTTTAATGGCATGTTTTGTTCATGGTAACAGCTTGCACGGGTAATAAGACGCTTGGCAGACTTTGCAGAAAGATATGCTGATCTTCCAACACTGGGATTCACCCACTACCAGTAAGTAAATCAGTAAAGGTCTATTAAGTGATTTGTTGTCATGTTGAGTTTTATTTAGGTATAATAAATGTAGGAATGTGGAACTCCCTTCCGCAGATAAGTTAAAAAAACCAAAAAAAAACTTTTAGAAGAGGTGTGTCACTACAACTTCCAACTGTGGGAGGGACTTCCACATTCTTACTGCCCTAACAGTAAAGAACCATAGTGTCACCATTTAAGGATTTGTGTATTGCGATCATATCCCTTCTTGAGCCCGTCTTCTCCAGGGAGAATAAGATTAATGTTTTATAATGCAGTTTCAATAACTGATTGCAAACCATTTTCATAGTCCTTGATTCCCCCAAAAAGTTCTTCCCCTAGCATGTGAATTGCATTCATATTTTTAGCTCCCAAGTGCATTACTCTACGTTTTACTACATTGAACCTTCTGCCATATAGCTGCTCACTCCTCCTATTTTAACTAGGTCTTTTTATAAAGTTTCTATATCCTGTTGTGAAATTATTGCCCTGCTTAGTTGTGTATCATCAGCAAGCACTGAGATTAAATTTTATTTATTTCAACCCTTATATCATTTATGAACAAATTAAACAGAATTGGTCCCAGGACAGAGCCCTGGCCACTTAGAAAATATGCCATTAATCACCACCTTCTGGACATGCTCCTGCCACCAGATTTCTATACAGGCACTTACCATATCATCAAGGGCATACAACCTTTCAGATTAATAGTTTGTGGGGTACTGTATCAAATGCCTTAATGAAATCTAGATACACTGTCCACAGGCCTTCATCTAGCTAAATTGTAGCTCACTCCTCATAGAATGCAAAAAGGTTGGTCTGGCAAGAATGGTTCTTCATGGTTGCTACTAAAGATGCTATTTTCATCAGCAAATTGTTGGATATGATCGCTTAGCATGCCTTAAAATAGTTTACAAACTATTAATATTAGGTTGACTGGTCTGTAGTTTCCAGGTCTATCTATCCAGGTATATCTTGGTATTTTTTTTTTTTTTTTTTTTGTTAATTGCCACCACATTTACTTTTCACCAGTCTGTGGTACCATTCCAGTCAAAAAGCTGTCCTTAAAACTTAGGAACAATGGTCTGACTATAACGTAGATAAGGTCCTTGCGAGCTCTCGGGTGCAAGCCATCTGGTCCTGGTGATTTGTTCACATTAGGTTTTGTCCTAGTCCTTTTTTTTTTTTTTTTTTTTTTTTTTTTTTTTTTTTAAACACTGGTCTCTGTCAGCCACAACGGTACGTTCAATATAATGTTAACTTTATTGTTGTCTTTATTATACTCCTCCTTTTCATTCGTGTACACTGAGGAGAAGAATGTATTAGCACAGTTTTATTCTCCCTGTCACTTGTCACACAAACTTCCTCTGATCATTTTTTTATGGGCTCAATGTGTTTTGACCTCACTTTTTTTGCTGTTAATACTTTTGAAAAAATGTGGAGATTTTTTTCACTCTTCTCAGAAATGTCTCTTGTAATCTATTTTAGCTGCCACTATTGCACTTCCTATTGCACTCTTTGTAGTTTTGGAATGGCGATGATGACCCTTGGGTCTTAAATGTATTAAAGGACAGTTTTGTTTTTCGTTAAAATGCCTTTTACATTAGTATTTTTCAGGCAACTATGTGATAAGATCCACACCCAGGATTAACCTATAATTACTGCCACCCAGATGCCTATATAATTCACCAGATGCCATACAATAAATAGTCCCTTTTGACAGTCACATAGGGTGTTGGTGCTATAAGATCTCCAATTCTCCAAAGGTTCTCACCGTCTCAATCATTCAAATATCCCAATTCACATGTAGCATAAACATGTGTTTTTCTCTTCCTCCTTTCTTAGAAAAGTGTCATCTCCTCCATGCAAAAATGTACAAAAACGCAAAGGATGTACATCCTTTGACAAAGTCGTATTGACAAAATGCATCAGTGACGCAAAATGGAAGTCACGCAAAATGGAAGTCAAGTGATGCGGCCATGTTGGTATAGGTGTGATTTTTTTTTTTTTTTTTTACACATTGTAAGCACTTTTTTAATAAATAAACCAGCTTGTTTTATTTGCTACACTGTGGTCTGCCTGTGTTTGGTTTGATTGCATATGGATAATGTGGGAGTGGAATATCAGCAATAGAGGAGATCTGTGAGGTGTAGCTGTGATCTATGAGATTCTGTGCTTCAGACCTAGGAGGATCTGGTAAGGTGCTTGAGCCATGAGGTGGTGGGGCACCTAAGATGGATTGAGCACTAGTCTATAGTGATCACAGAGATTGCTAGAGTGTGGTCACATTGGCACTATTGCTTTTTATTGAATTGGAAATACTACACTATACGATTAATTTTTTTTTTTTTTTGGGGGGGGTATTATAAAGTAAAGAAGAAACAAAAGGAAGTGATTTACAAGATTCATCCCCCTTTAAATAGAAGCGAGGATTTTTGGATTGGGGGGTAAGAGTAAGAATAACGGATAGTGATTGTTGGATCAAGGTGGATAAGTTGGCACTATAATAGGACTTCTATGTGAGTGTAATATTTTATTTTATTTTCACTTTATTTAAGAGATAATGTACTAAATGCCTTTTTGTACATCTTTGCATGAGCAGATGACATTTTTCTAAGAAAGGAGGAAGAGGAGTACACATGTTTGTTACATGTGAATTGGGATATTTGAATGATTGAGATGGTGAGAACCTTTGGAGAACTGGAGTTCTTATAGCACGAACAGCCTATGTGACTGTCAACAGGGACTATTTATTGTATGGCGGATATGGACGCTGGGTTTCTTGTGTACTTTTGTCAGGCAACATTCACGTTTATTTTTTTATATTGGTTGCCCAGTGGAATGCATTGTCAAATGCCATTGTTTAGAGTATAAATATAAATATATATATATTTTATGTTATACACACACACTTACCGAGAAATGAACTGCTGATTGTTCAGTTTGCTGTCTGCTTGGAGTGGAGACTGTTAGTCACCGCTCTCCGCTCTTCTCCTCCATCACTCACTGGACAGGAGAGGAGGTAGGCACAACTGGCTTCGGCTCTCAGCTGCACACTGAGAGGTAAAGCCAGCTGTCAATCAGGCCGCTGGTTGAACCCCAACAAAATTGTTGGGATCTTTAGAGAGCCTGGATGGGCTCCATCACGTCAGCTGACAGCGGTCTTTAGTTTGCTGTTGGCTGATTCTGGGTCACAGGAGAGCAAAAGAAAGTATGCCGTTATGAACATTTCTAACCTGCGCCTTTTTTTTGGGAAACCGTGAAATCAATGGGTTTAGTTCTGCTTTACCAGATTGATGGGCAAATGGACATTTTCTACTATGTGTGTTTTAGAACTTGCCCAAGTGACTAAATTCAGAGCTGCTTGTTTTCGTTTTCAATAGTTTTATTGAAATATTTCACAAAAGAGAGGAAAAAAAAATGTAAGGAGCATTACAAAATAGTGGTTCTTTCACTGTAGTGATACAGTCCGATAACATAATGACATAATGAATCAAGTTTTCATTGTCAATAAAGAATCTGAAGGCACATTTTACTATATAGCACAATTTTGGAAATTCGTGTTGTATGTGGAGG